TTTGAAGTCTATTTATTTCTTTGAGATTGTTAGATAAACTTTCCATAAACACTTGTGCACAGTTGGGTCCGCAATACGTTACATATTTTGATAATTTATCATCATATGAACATTTTATATAATAACCAAAACTATGTACTTCATGTTTCTGAATATTGTGTGTGAAAGGTTTGGAAGGATCGTTAGAACATGATTCTATTGGTTTTAAAAATGCTTCAAAATCAGCATAAACTACGAATGGTATCTTCAACTTTTTTTCATAACTATCAAATTTAATTTTATCATTTGAAATAGGTTGACCAAACCAATTCTTTTTTTTAAAAGTTTCACTGTTTGGTAATTCTGTACAAATGTGGGCACAATCGTATTGTTCATGGTTATTTAAACTTTCCTTAGATGGAAAGTGAAGTAGACATGCTTCGCAAATGTACATGATGTGACCGTCTTTTGAAATTTGTTTACTAACTAACCGCGATAAATTTTTTATGTAACAATAATGATTTTTTGTATCCTTGGAAAAAAATAATAAATTGATATGTCTATCTTTACGACACTTTGTTAAAAATAATGGACCTACTATAGAATTACATCGTTTTTCTTTATTATATTCTAACCCAAAAACATTAATACTAATATCATTTAATTTCTCTACTTTTGCTATGTCAGAAATTTTAACTGGAAAGGAAATACCATTAAATTTAAGTTTATTTGCATGTTTAACGTACGATGATACACGATCCGCGTCTTTGTTTACGGGATATAACGCCGGGAGTAACGCCCATTTAAAACAAAAATAATCCCTGCTTTTTACATTTATAACAGCCTTTTTTAATTTTATGTCACGAGGAAGATCTATGTATGAAGTACCGCGTAGGGGGTTAAATTTATTAACATTCATGTCTATAGATTTTATGTTTTTTAGACTCCATCCACTATCTTTTTTTTTCAAATGCACTAATTTTAGTAGTAATTGTATCATTTAAAGATGAAAAAAATAATATTTAAGTCATCTCCTTGACAAATAATATAGTTAAGCGTTTGAACATCAAACGTATCATGAATATCTTTAGTTTGTTGAACAAAATCAGCATGCAATATGAAGTTTACTTTAAAAATTATGTGTTGATGAATACACTCTTGTATTAAAAATAAAATATCATCTTTAATAGAATTTAAAAATAGTTCAGGAGTTTCAAAATTTACCAATGTCGAACTATCTACTCTACTCTTGATTTTATAAGTTAAAATCCTATTTCCAAAAGCAGATTCAATAACACTAACGTTTGATAAAGAATTATGTGAATTTAAAAGATTATTTTTGTGAACATTACTTTTAAAATGATTAGCTAAATACCGTTTCTTGATAAATATATGACACGTTAGACATTCCACTTGATCTTCGTTACTGATACTGTTCCCTGCAGAGGTAGGCGCTTCTGCTTCCGTTGTTGGTTTTTTGATGATCTTGGGTTCTTTGCTGCTCGTTCGCTTCGTTCCTCTTCCAAGTTGTAGTAGTTGACTACTAAAATGTTTAAATTTATTAAAAACTGTACAAGACATTGTGTAAATTATGATCGAAACGAATGTTTATTTTACTTACTTAAACTGTGTTTCAACCATCGCACAGTGATTATACAACTCATCATCATACGATGAATCGAACAGTTGATCCTTCTCCATTTCATCACAAACTTTAGACAACTCCTGATTTAATTCGCTGTTGAATAGTTCCGTATTCTCTTCCATGGTTGTGGAGAAGAAAGCACTGGTGCACACTTCACTGAAGTTTGCCATCCTTATAGTAAAGAAGAAAATAGGTAGCAGAGTAAGTAACAGTTCAGTGTTGGTAGACCAACTGATACCCAAATTTCAAATAATGTCCGATATTTAAGTCTAACAAAGGATTAGAAATAGAATATAATGAGTACACGGAAGTAATTTAAGTAAACAGAATCACATTCACTAATGATCAGCTAATGACTGTCATTGTTAAAAAAGTATTTTTTAACTTTTTCACTTTCTGCTATTGTCTTTGTAATATTGTATACGAGGGCGTTTGTGTTGTCGTAGATGCTATCCTTATTAGTCTTTACGTAATATTTAATCCTCGTGGAAGCATGTTTCCAATGATCAGTAGTTGGAATCTTGGATAGCTTCTTCATATCGTACATTTCAATTTTGATGAGATGCGTCGCTTGGTCTCCGTCGTCAGAATTAGTAGAAATGTATGATACACCATCTCTAGCGGCTCGTGCTACGGTTGATGATAACAGCTTCCTCTTTTTTATTTTTGATTCAGCTTCAAAAAAATGATCAATCGATTGCGATTTTCTTTTTCCACCATCGCATGTGTTATTATTAATGACGATGTCATCACTCTCTTCTTGAGGGGAGAGTGGCGAGTAGTAATACTGTTTATAGGTATTTTCATCGAAGCTCAATGATTTCTGCAACAACACAGTTATCATGTTAATATCAATTTGTTAACACTTAATCATAAAAGTTAAAAAAGCTAAAGTTACAACCTATTAAAGTCCACTGCTGAACATAGGCCTCCTCTCATTTCTGAGAGGGTTTTAGGGCTAGGAAATGTTCGCTGTGATACCTCAATGCGTGTTGGCAAACTTCACATGCCTTCGAAATTTTCTCAGACATGCATTCCTCACGATGTTTTCCTTCACCGCTGAGCACGTGGTAAATCAGCACTTAAAATTGTAATTAACAATTTAATTGGTGCCGGCGGGGATCGAACCCGGGTCGTGTACTATGAATTTTACATTTTGCGCTAACCATCTGAACTACCACGGCTTAACCATATACACACACATAATATTTAAATATAATTTGTTAACACTAAATCATACACACGTAAGAAAATAACAGAAAGAAAAGTAAGTTTGTCAATAGAATAAACACTTACATCCATGGCCTTTGATGCGTTGAAGTAACACAAACGTAGTATTGATAGATCCACTGCGGTCAAACGACCATACACTAACTCCATGACTGCAGTTGCTTGGTCTTATATAGTACCAGTGAGTAATAATTCTAATCTAAAGAATTTCTGCAGTAGAATAGATAGTATCTTTATGCGTCAACAAGCTTACCTTACATTCTGTTGCTTATCTCTACATTCCTACGTCCTTCCTGTCGTGTCTTGTTCAGTGTATTGGTGACTCAAATACGTTTTGTATAACACAAAGAAAGCAATTTAATATTTAGATACCACTATAATTGATCATTCCTATATTAGTCATTGAGTAGATTGGTACTGTAATAATCTACTAATAGCAGTAATATTATGGATACACTAGATGTACAACAACATCTGAAAAAGATTCACCCCACTCTAGAAAATAATGTTTATGCTGCCAATAAACTACCCATGTACACCCACGTACCAACGTATATAATATGCAATTTGGATACAGATGATAAACCAGGGTCACATTGGGTAGCTTTATATATCGATACGAATGACGTCGGTCAATATTTTGATTCATTCGGACGGGCACCTGTATGATATCATCTAGAGTTTTTTAAAAGAAATTGTAAAAGATGGAACTGGAATGTTGATAGGATTCAGAATGAGTGGACTTCAGTTTGTGGCGAATATTGCTTAATGTATTTGCTATATAAGTTTCAGGGATGTTCAATGCATAGTTTTACGAGTATATTTACAGAGAACACATTGTACAACGATATTTTAGTGGATGAGATATATCGCTCCTATTTTATAGATAATAAGTAATAAGATTTTGTATTTTATAAATAAAAATTTTAACAAAATTAGGTAATGTGTTTTATTGATAATTCAGATTAGTGTTGTAAATAGGAACAAAGGAGTATAATACAATAGCATAAGCCGACCCACACGCTGACGAATAATAGATAATGACGGTAGTCAATCAAGAATAGATAAGTAGATAAGGACAATGGAGCGCTAATGACGGTTGAGGCTCGCAGCGGATATCAATTAGATAAGAGTTAATTGATCTGCACATCTCCGGAATTTTGATTTTTTTTTTTTAGGATTGTGAGTCGACGAACGTCGTGCGCCAGAACTGGTACAACCTAACTACTCTGATCACTCCCGATTCCACGCCCCAAATTTTTGCCATTTTAATACACCATGGCCGACACAGACGATCAGTTAAACTGATCGATTGAACTGACGTACATACAACTTTTTTATTTATTTAAATAATGTGTTACATATTTTTAAGTATTTACTTCATGATTAAAATTGTATGTATACAGATAGAAAATTATATTTCTTAACTTCTTAACTTAGCTATATTCATCCCTTATTTTCAGTTCCTATTTATGTAGTATGGTCGTCTATTGGTAGATGGCGCCGAAGTAACACATATTAGTTGCGGGACCAAATCTTCAAGGGCACCGGGCAATACTGTAATACTCATAAACTGATCAGTCCAATTGATCAGTTCAACTGATCAGATTAACTGACCTTGTTTGTTGCAGTTTTTTCGCTTACATCAGTTTAACTGACCGCGTATACCGGTCATAAGCCATATTGAACCGTAATAGTTTAAGCGATAAGCGTTAGCCTTTAATTTCACAAAAGAACCGCGTTTAACATTCGCCAGTAGTAATAAAAATGTTGATTAAAATCTTAAAAGAAGGAAAACATCTTCAGGAAACCTGCATTTTGAAAAATAAAAAAGAATTCGAGGACTTGATGTGAAATCTTTTTACAAGCATTAGTGCAGCGGAGCGGATACTTTCTGCCTCATCGAAGAGTCCAGCTTCTTTTTATAGAATAGGAGTGACAAACGAGCCTATGGTCCCGATAGTAAATGTATTTTTTTATGCGCAACTCTATATGAGGTCATAAGATTTTCCTGGTGACGAGACGAGATGAGGTGCTTTTACATCGTCACCATACATTGATAACTACAAAGTAATGGATTCATAAAAAAATATCAACAAAGTAGCTTATGTTTGAAACAAGAACAAACAAAACAGTGTATACCTACCCTGCAAACATATTCCTCGTTCCTTAATTATCTGGTCTCCAGAGTTCTGTAAAGAAAAGTGAAGTAAGTTTGTGAACATCCGTACATCCCGCCGCTGTGCACAGGTCTCCTTTCGTCCCTGAGAGGGTTAGCGGCAAGGAAGAGTCAGCCGCGCTGCCTCAAATACGTGTTGGCAATTAAATAACCGTGCAGTGGTGGTAGTGTAAGAATATCCAGTACCCCATCTCATCCCGTGGGTGTCGTAAGAGGCGACAAGACAGAGGGAAACAAATCAGGAGATGGGCAGCAGAGTCTTCCTAATAGCGACTAAAATAAAAATAAACTGTATTTGCCAACCCGCTTGCCAAGCGTGGCAACTATGGTGAATATACCCCCTATGACTATGATTAAATAGGGTGTCACAGTTTAAATATTTAGGACACATTGTTACAGAGAATCTTACAGACAACTGTGATATAGAGAGGGAGCGGAGGGCATTGGCGGTTCGAGGCAATATGGTTGCCCGCAGGTTTGCTAGGTGAACTAGAGAAGTCAAAATTACTCTTTTCAAGGCTTACTGCCAAACCTTTTACACCTGCAGCCTGTGGTATAGCTATACGCAAAGGGCCTATAATGCAATTCGCGTCCAATATAATAATGCCTTCAGAATGCTGATGGGCCTTCCCGTGTTCTGCAGTGCATCTGGCATGTTTGCTGAAGCGGGTGTTGACGATTTTCATGGCATCATACGGAAGCGAATATCGTCCAGCTGGCGCAGATTGCGGGGGAGCTCAAACGGCGTCCTGAAGGTAGTTAAAGATAGGCTTGATTGTCCCATTCAAGGGCATTGGACTCAAATGCATATGGGTGGGACACTTAAGTATCTTAATTAATAATTTTAAAATTGTAAGTTATTTAATTTGATTTAATTTAATTTACTAACATAGCTTGTAAGAAATTTACTAACAAATTTGTATGGATTTTTTAATCTGAAATAAACGTTTTATTATTATTATTATTATGACGCAATCTATGGGGGAGGCCTATGTTCGGCGGTGGATTTTAACTGGCTGTAACGGTAACTAAAGAACAGTACCTAATTTACATGATTTTTTTCAAACCTCTTATTACCATATTTTTTAACTAGCAAGTTTTATTTATATCGAAGTCTATTAACATTCTTGTCAAAGTTTAAGGATAAATGTAAAATAAAACCTTATTTTACTGTTGTCTACGTTCGTAAAGTTATAACTGCTATAATAATTCTGACCATATTCGAAATGCTTACATATTTCTTTAAAACTAAAATACTTTATGGTGTTGGTAATTATAAAACTACTTAAAACTAGATCAGTTTAAAACTACCTACTCCGAGCTGAAAAAGACATTTGGGGCACTTTAATTGCTCAATATTCGCAGACGATATTATACTTAACGGTCTGAAAATAATCAGTGAACGTAAATATTGCGCTTTTTGTTTTTTAAGTTTGATATAATTGATGACAGCCAAAATGGTTTTCCATGTAACCAGTCAACTACCATAGCTGTTTTCAAATGTTCACAAAATATATTAGACATTCTTAACAAAAAGAAATACGCTATTGGAATTTTATTAGATATGCGTAAGGCTGCGTAATGCGTATGCGTAAATGATCGAGTATTACCAAATATTTTACTTAACAAATTATACAGCATAGGTATCAGAAGAGTGGCCCAAACTGGCTTAGATTATACTTTCAAATCCGAGTTCAGTGTGTTGAAATACAACAGGCATGCCTAGAAAAGAATAATATTGAAAAAGTAAAATCAAGCAATGTATCTGTACTAAAATCCATACCCCATGGAAATGTAATAGGATTCTTCCCCTTTATAGGAGATATATATATATATATATATATATATATATATATATATATATATATAAATCTATATATATATATATATATATAAAGAAAAAGAATATATATTATTTGCAGATAACATATCAGTAATATTACCTGCGACAAATGAAACAGAAATATTCTTAATGAAATGGTTTCATGGCTAAAAGATCACAATTTAGAATTAAATTTTAACAAAACAAAATTAATGATTGTTAAACCATATCAAAAACAACAATTAAATATAAATTTGTAATATAAAACTAGAGTGAGTAAATTATTATAAATTATAAATTGTTCAGATTTTTATGTGCGCTAAATGAGTTGCGCACGCGTGGTTGCGCTACGGTATACCGATCGATCACTAATTACTTAGTCGGGTCATAAGTTTTGTCAAAACCTTATTATTTAAAAATTTTAAATACTGGCTAGATGAACTTCAATATAAAAAATATATCGTTTGCACTTGCCGAAAATAAAAGACATTCATTTTCATTCATTTTCAAATATGGAGTGGTCGAAGAAAGAACATAGAGTAGCGGTTATCGCGTTGCACCGCTACGCGCCAAAAGAGATTTTCAATATTCTACAAAAATTGAAAATAACCCTTTTTATGGCTTATCGCACTATCAAAGGGTTCACTGAAGATTCAAGCTTCGAAGATCGTGAAAGGACCGGCCGACCTCGTACGTCTACTCGTACAAAGCAGTGAGGGCACGAATCCTGTTCGTAAACAAAAAATCTTAGCTCTTCAGATTGGCCTAAATAGAACCACGGTCAAAATAGTGATCAATGAAGACCTAGGACTACGAGCTTATCGTAAGAAGACCGGACATTTTTTGAACGAGCGTTTGAAAAAAATAGGCTGGATAGATCCCGCGCTTTGTTACGGCGATATGCGGGAAAAAATACCGTGAAATTTTGTTTTCGCATGAAAAAACTTTTAACATCGAAGAAAGTTATAATAAACAAAATAATAAGGTGTATGCCCACAACAGTGAAGAAGCAAGTACGCTTATTACGTGGGTTCAACGAGCACATTATCCTTCGTCACTTATGGTTAGGCTTGGAGTCTCATATTCAGGCTTAACCGAGGTGTTTTTCTGTGAAAAAGGTGTAAAAACGAGTGCCTAGGTGTATCAATATACAGTCCTAACAAAAATAGTGGAACCTCTTTCTCAAACAATGTTCAAAAACAGACATTGGATATTCCAACAGGACTCAGTATCAGCTCATAGGGCACGAAGCACGCGAAACTGGTTGACCGCCCATGGAATTGACTTTATCGGACATGAAGACTGGCTTTCTTCTAGTCCAGATTTAAGCTCACTGGATTATAAGATATGGCAACATTTGGAGGAGAAAGTCTGCTAAACCTCATCAGAATTTGGAATCTCTTCGAGCATCTTTGGCTAAAGCAGCGGCAGAAATAGGTGTGATGCGTGCTGCGATTGATGATTGGCCGCGACGATTAAGGGCATATATCCAAAATATCCCATATTTTTTTTAATAATGTCAATAAAATTTACATTATTAAAAAAATATGGGACATTTTGGACACAAAGGGCATTTTGAATAATGTAAATAAAATTGTATTCCAAATTAAATTACCTTTCATTTCATATATAATTTCTATATAATTATCAAAAAGTGTTCACGTTCACGGCAGTTAATTTATCTAATACATCACCCAAAGATATAATAGAGATAGAAGAATTATAAGAAGTTTGAGATAGCGCTAAATAGCTTTTTGATTAAGAAATGTTACTACATACTACATATGATCTATTAATGTGGTTTTATTTAGATTTGAGATATACCGGCCAAGTGCGAGTCGAACTCGCACGTGAGGGGCTCCGTACCATCGTAAAGCACGTTTCTAGTAGGGGAGCTCCCATTTGTTTTTAATTTTATTATTTGTTGTTATAGTGGCAACTTAAACACACATTCTGTGAAAATTTCAACTGTCTTATTGTTACGGATCATGAGATACAGCCCGCTGACCAGACGGTCGGACGGACGGAGCACGGAGGCTAAGTAATTATCAGTATTGGACTCAAAGAGCTGTTTATGTGATGTATTAAGGGGAAATATAATGTCAAATGGCTTAGCAAGATCCTTTGTTACGCCGAAAATATTGCAGCATTAATTTTGAAATAAATATAAGGTAAAGTTGAGGATTATAGTTAGTGATTATGTTAGACGAAAACACGATTTCGTAAAATTTTCTCGATAGAAAAAAAATCCAAAGTTACCTCCAAAATAAACAATAAACCGCTGTTATTCATAAAATACTTAAAATTTTATTTTATTTTTTATTACTTTAAAAAAAAAGATCATGAAACTTTGCATACTAGCTGAACTAACTATAAAGCAGTGCTTATGTTATTTACTTTTTTTAAAATACCATTATTTTCACTGTAAAAAGAAATTACCTAAACTATCGGCATCTTGAGCTTGATTCCTGTCGTTCCGTTAGTATCGCTTAGGCTTTTGAAGGGAGAAGTTGTGTCGCTTACAATCAGAATATACATTACGCAACAGTACGACGTAAAATTAAAATGGGAAATAACCGTGATAAAAATAAGAAGCGGCTGGCTTGGCTTTAAGAAACAGGCATAAATATGATAAACCTAATGAAATAAGTGTCTAACGACCTTTCTACTTACAGTATTAGTGATTACAAATATTTCGGTACATAGCATACGATGCGCGGGGAAGTGGGGGCGAAATTAGAATTTGAGCTGACTTACTCTAACCTCTTAATGAGTACAACATCTATATACATTCACATCATATCTAGGCACCCACGTAATGCTTCATCTCACTAGTACCGCGATCCGTGATAAATAATAAACTAGAACAACAAACAAGAAAAGAAATTAAATAAGTATGAACTTACATAATACAAGTTAAAGCATACTTTTTTACGGAAGTTATAGTGTGCAAATATCTGCTGCCCAATCCCGCATGAAATATCTTACATACGTATATATACATGTACGTACCCTCAATTTATGCTACTGTAAGATATTTTGTAAGCAGAATTACGGATTCCGTTCTGATTAAGAGGCAGTTCAGATTTCAACTCTCGACTTGACCCCTTTTTACCTTTATGTTTTAGTGAACAATCTTACTGCATCATTCGTTTTCATTTAATTTAAAATTAGATAATTTATAAATCGCG